TTTTTACTGACTTTGAGCAAAGATATCTTGGCAACTACCTAAGCAAATTTGCTGTTTTTTTTTGTTTAAATTCTAGAGATCTCTAAAATTAAAATAAAAAAAAGTTCATTGAATTTGCTTAGATAGGTGCCGAGATATCTTCGCTAATAGTTTTTTTAAAAAATTTTACTGCTTCTTTAAACGTTTTGAGTTTGTTAACTTTGAAGATATCTCGGCAACTATCCAAGCAAATTCGATAGAATTTTTTTTTTTTTTTAATTCTAGAGACCCCTAGAATTAAAATACAAAAACTATTAAATTTATTTATGTATATGCCGAGCTATCTTAAATTTTTAAAAATCTAATTTTTAAAATTTTAATTTTTAAAAATTGAATTGATGTATCTAAGATTACACTATCGTTCACAATAAATAAGCCTAATACTAGTATTTTTGTATGTTAATTAGAAGTTATAAATATAAAAAAATGAAATAAAAACCATTATTATAACATGTAGCAAGATAACAGTATTAAGATTGAGCAAAATTAATTTAGCAAGACCGCACAAACTTATATCAATAATAATCAGTTTTTGTTGCTTGCTTACATATAGAAATTCATAGTATTAAAGTTTTTTCATAAAGTTTTATTTATAGCTTTTTAAGATCTCACAATCTGTAGTAATTATACATGAACTTGAATAGCTTATTTTAAATACAGCCCACTCATCCTATAATAAACTGATAGTTCTGAAAGAAACAAAAATAAAAATAATTACAAATAAGGGCCCAAAGTTAAAATAGTTATATATAAGCCCAAATTTTGAAAATATTATAATCAAGAGTTCAAATTTATCAGATTGAATATTTTAACATTTAAAATTATATTAATATAATTTTTTTTTTGACAGTTAAATGTACATATTACCTTTTAATCAGTATTTATTATTTTAACATCTTGCAGGTCTACTTCTAATAATTTTTAAAAGTGATTTAAATTTCTTTACGAATACTGATGAGTTTTTGCAGTTCTAAATGTCTTCGATTAACGCATAGTAACTTTTACAAAGTATGATTCTCTAGATTTGTTATAAAATAGATAGGTTAGTTTAGAACTGAATAAACATTACAAGATTGATAAATATCATGTTTAACCTAGTTGAATTGTATCTTGATTAAGAAAATGTTTCATTAAACGAAAAGATATAGTATAAAATGTATAAAATAATGCATATAATGATAATATTCAAAAAACTATTATCATCATAATGTAAAGTTATTTTTGATACTTAATTGTAAAATTTTTCAAAATTTGGACCCTTATATGTAATTATTTTTACTTCGGCCCTTATTTGTAATTATTTTGATTTTTCGGGCCTTATATGTAATTTCTTCTTTATTTTAATACTTAAGAAAGATAAAAAAAAAAAAATAAATAAACTTCAAAGTTCTTTTTTTTTTTTTTTACCTCTAGAAAGAACAATATCAATAATAGTATCTCGCATTTCGCACTTCATATCTAAATTAATACGAATAAATAAATTAAATCGTAAATATTTTATGACTTAGATGGCATATTTTAAAAATAACTTTTCCTCTAAATACAAATTCAAATTCGGGCCCAAATATATATATACAATCTCCATAAATATATTTTTTTTTATTGTTCTCTCTAAGTGCACGTTATTAAAGTTTGGTTCTAAGTGCATATGTATTTATAGAGGTTTTAATGTATTAATAAATATTCTTTATGCCTACGTATTAAATAAAAAAACTAAATTAAATAGTAAGTATCTGTAAGTACTTAGATTGATAAATGCCTTTGTATATACCTATTGTTCTCTAAGTGCATATTGTTAAAGTTTGGTTCCAAGAGCGTTTATGTACTTATAGTATTAATAAACATTTTTTATATCAACGTACTAAATTATTGTAAATAAAAAAATTAAATTAAATAATAAATATTAGTGAATACCTTAAGTATTTAAATCAATAAATGTTTTTTGTACTTATCTTCTCAATTAATCTCACAATGCAAAGCTAGCATACACAGTATCAAAAGCAATATACAAGAAATATTGCAAATATGCTTCTATTATTATAGAAGAAAAAATCGCTATTTAAAATTAGAAAAAAAACAAATTACCATTTAGCAGAACTGATAATGTACTTATATCGGCCAATGCATATTCACGCATATTATTCTGAATATACTTTTTCCAAAATAAAAAAAAAATTTGGGGAAAAAAAAAATGCGGAATATATGCATTTTACACAAAATCTTAATCTACAGATAGCCTATAGACGCATATTAATCATGTATATTCATGCAGATATATGTACGATATCAAAAATGCAAATTGCTGTCAACTAATGTCAGTTCGGCCGATAATTGTAATGATTATATATACAACTTCGATGCATGTATATGACTTTACATTTTTGTTAGCCGATGTTGTTTTGGCTGCGAAACTATTTTTCTTTTGAGCTCAATAATCTAAAATATTATAATCTTTTAGTATATTGTCTTAATACACAAAAATAAATAAAAAGATGCGATTTTACACTCTACAAGAATTCAACAAATATTCTTTGAATTAAATATAATAAATAAAAAAAGTATTGTATTAATAAGATTCAAAAAGTCTTGATATATTGTTTAAATATATCTATATAATTCTTCTATTTATTACAATGGATAACTCTACTTGTTCTTCATGTGGTAAAACAAAATCTCTTGCTGATTTTGTAGTAATCGGAGCAAAAAGATCTCAAAAGCAATGTGATACATGTTTAAGTTGTCGTGACAAAGCTAAACATCACAAAAAAGCTAAAAGAAAACAGCAAGAAACCAAGGAAAGTGAAGAAAACTAGGATATCTTAGCTCATGAAGGCCAGGATGTTTTAGAAACACTTGAGCCAAGTAGTTTTTGCAACTATATAATACGGCTTCTGGGTAGGTATTCACTGCAACAAAATCATAAATCAGGAAACATGTCACCATTCTCCTTTCAGTATAAAGTAGATATCTCAGAAGTAGAAAAATCTCCAAAAGAAATTGCAAATGAATTGGCTAAAATTATCAAAGATGCAGATGGATTTGCATAGATCTATAACTATTCATATTAAGGAATAAACATAATATCATATTGGTATATTTGTTCGCAGTGAGATATACTAGCTCAAAACCTAAAAAAACATGAAGACCTGTCAAAACATTGTAATACTCCTTCTATAAAATGATTCAATTGCAATAATTCTATTAAAATTTCTATTGATCAAAACAATAATATAGCAAAAATAATCCTAAAACATGACTTGTTATATGAAAAACCAAAAGACATGTTAGTTCCTCAATATGTTAAAGATTTTATTCAAACAAATATTGATCTCTTACCATGAGAAATATATACTTGACTTGTTAGTGAAAGCATAAATCTATCAATTTGGCAGAAGCAAATTCATTTCTGGTAGTGAACTCAGAAAAGACAGATATAGGTATCACGAAGATCCATTTACATCTGCAATTGAATGGTTTAGGGAAAACCAATATACTATTATTTTTGAAAAAACATACCCGGCCCGTGCTCTAGCAATTTTAACAGAACTTCACGAATATTTACAGCAAATGAATGCTAATATATATGAATATGATATTGACGCAATATGTAAGTATATAGCATAATATTTATTATACTGTATAAATACCATTTTTTATTATAAATGATGGTATAATAATAGTATAATATTTATTATACTGTATAATTTCTAAGGTGGCATTCATAATTTATGTTAAACCAGTTTTGTTGGATTTTTAAAAAAATAATACAAAAATAATACCATATGGTATTATTTTTAAGGTTCCTATTTTCATACAATACAGTACTGGTTTAACATAATTATAGATACCGCCTAACTCTATTTATAATACAAAAGCTCCAAATCGATCTATTAATAACAAAATATACTTTTAGATAATACAAATACTGTCAACTATGGATATAACGGAAATCTGGGCTAACAAAAAAATTCCGTT